ACTTGTTAGTCATCCCCTCGCTGTGGTAGCACCAACACTTGCTCCACATTCGAAAACTGGATCGTGACTTTTTTGAGGTTTTTGCACTTCAGAGAGCTCCAGTGAGTCCTGACCTCCAAGAAGGGAGCTGGGTACAAGCCCCCCCTCAACGCCAGCATTTAATCTAAGAGCAGGAGTGGAGTCTGTGAGGGCTGCGCTTACACACACAACCTATTGCACGCGGAGGTGTTATGGTGTTAAGTGCGCTGCTTCAGACCACTTTCGCCTGCAGGACTTTAAGTTAAAATTCCCTTGTGCCATGTCTGACAGCCATTATGGCTCAATCACTGCCCCCCTCCCCTCCATCCCAACCTCACATTTTCCAGGTTCTAGATTTTAATGTGGAGGCCAACAGTTCTAACAGACAGCAGTGTTTAGCTGGGCATGTTGATGTGGGAAAACAAGGCAAACATGTGCTGCAGCCTCCAGTGAGAACTGGACTCCTGCCTTTTCTGTGTCAAATGAGGAAGAGGAAGATAATCATAGACTTAAACCTTAAATCTGTTTAACCTGAAGGACAGCTGGGGCATTTTAAGTCTGGGCCAAAGACAGAGAGAGGCTCCTAAATATTACACTTCATGGATGTCAACAACACGGTTGTCATAACAGAGAGACACACGTCTTCTGTATCTTCTGCACGCCACACACCGCAAACCTGAAGTCATGTTTTGCACGGACAAAAGTGTAGACGTAAACCTATGATGTTCTGCTTGGTTTTAACTCCCTCCCTGGTGTTTGTGTAATTTCGTGTGCCTCCCACAGCGTTGCCGCTCACTTTTACTCCCACAGTCTGAGTATGTGCGAGTGAACGAAATTAAAACAAACATGACCTGTGCTGCTGCCGAAGTTTGCTCGTAGCAACAAAGGAGCAAACTTTTTTTTTTCTCTTTCAGATGAAATAAACCCAAAATACATACAAGGACCTGGCAAAAGCCAAACTCTGGAATACCCTCAGTCGAAATTACCAATAATTACCATCCGCATTTTGCAATTTTCATCAATTTACTTCACAAAGCTTTACTTATGAAAGAGACTATTTAATACAAATAGCTGGCTGAAGCCGTCTAGGAGGATTTATGAGTTCAGCAAACAATCCCCAGTCCTTGGAAGCAATGTAAAGCACAGGGAGAAGGAATGTTGATTTTGTACATGACACAAAATGAGGCACATCCTTATAAAACTGTGAGATACCAAGAGTGGATGTCAAATCAAACGGAGCGGCCAATTCATCTCCAACTAAAAATTCCTTTTTCTACTGGTATGTGTTTCTGTGAGAGCAACTGTACTGCACTGTAAGTTCTTGGAGCAACACTGCCAATCCCTCACATCTGAGATGATTTAAGTTGAACCGACAACCTGACAGTTTATAGTTCAAATGTTAAAACGTATAGGATGTAAAAGAAAATGAAAAAAAAAATTGAATTTTGGTTGTGGCAAAATGTAAAACATTTATATTGTACAAGTTGCTACCTGGAAAACCAGTGTGGAAACCCGTCTGTAAATGCGAGGGTGTGGAGCCGTTCAACATGTGTGTGATCAAGAGTGGAGGTTAACCACCTTCAGAGTTGAGCAGGGCAGCAAAAGAACCGAAAATGTGGTTTCAATAGTACAAGGAGACGCCCAGATCTTTGCACACTTCTGTGAATTACACACATGGCCGTGTATCAAAACATGATAAACCCTTGGCACCCCATTCAAAGCTGCTGCGGATATTGAAGATATTGTTCTAATACGCTCCACACAGCAGCGTGTACAGACAATGATGACGGACGCTGACTTTTTCAGCGCCCTATGAATTGTGAGGAGACGGGGGAGGAGGGCGGGGGAGAGGGTTCACTAACTCTAATGTTTTCTCTGGGCTCAGGCAGGTAAGCATGAGACAGCAGCTGAGACTTAAGGCCAGACTGAACAATGGGGGCGCCTGTGTTGTGTTTCCATGTCTGAGTTTGGGAATGGACGCACGGCTGCTGCTGCTGCTGCTGCTGCAGTTCCGTGTTCTTTGGTAATTAAGCTCTTTAAAAGTCTAAAAATACATTTTGGAGAAGTGCTGCAAATCTTTACTGGTACATTAATAAGGGCAAACACAGAGGCATTAAAAAGTTTAAAAAGGGTGGCATGTCTTTGATTCACACACACACACACGCACACACCTACACATGCACGAGCAGACACAGAGCCGAGTAAAAAAAAGAGCACTTGTCCAGTTTTTGTGGCTCAAACTACAAAAACAATTCATCCTAATGACTTTTGCAAATTGGACATAACTCTTTCAGAACACCCAATGTTTGGTCCAGCTACCAATTATAGCACGTGTTGAACCGCACACACTATAACAGCACATCAAGCTAAAGTATACTGTTTAATGAACATGGGAAAAAAAATCTGGCTGCGACAACAGAACCACTTCATAATTTATATTGCAGTTGTTATTTAGAGGCAGAAGAAAGGATTTAAAGTCGCCGTGGCCACAAAAAGAGTTCTCATGTGAAAGTTCCTCATCTTGAAACACGGCTAAATTAGATATAGCACATGGTAATGTTTTCCCAAAATGCTTGAAAAATGGGAACACGGCCATCTGCGACAAGACATCAATTACAGCATTATATAAACTAAAAATTTCTCTGTTGCTGACAGAGACGAGCATAAGCAGTATGTTGAGCCGAGCGTGAACCTGAGCTGACAGAAGGAAATGAAGGCAAAACAAGGCTTGGACTGAATGCTACAGAACTTCTGTTGTGTTGAAGAAAACTGGCATATGAAGCGCAGAGTTTAAAAAAAAACATTGTTCTATCATAGTCTTAAATAGCTCTCACCCAGTCCCTGGCCTGGACCCTAGCGTTAGTGCATTCTACCATGATGTCCAGCAACAGCCCTTAGCAACAGTTACCCCAAGCTACAGCCCTTTGACTTATGCTGTAATGGCATCTAGGGTCTACCGGAGAAATGGCACTTTGCACACACTGAGCTGTTTGCTTTTCTGAATTCCCATGACAGCTAGAAAGTGGAGTCATGTTTCCGCCACTGAATAAAACCCACTTTGTTTCTGCTCCACCGGTCAAAGGCTCTGAAAACAGTCACAGCTTTTCAAAGTTTATTACGCGGTGCTTTTCACACATCACTAAAACAAAGTGGTGGGAGGCCAGGGCACATTTCCCCCAATGCAATTACACCAAGTTTAGTCTCCAAATCACTAAATAAACTGGACAAATACCTTCAGGGTGACTTATCTGCAAGGAACAAAAAGAAAAGATTGGGAAATGCCACTGACCTTTACCACTCCTTTCTCGTGCATGGTGATGCAATTATTGGGATCCTTGGATAACTGATACAAGGCCATGGCTGTGCTTTGGTGGACTCTGTGGTCTTTGGACTTCAGGTAGCGCACCAGTGGGGCCACAGCCCCAGCCTCACCAAAGGAGGCCCTGTTACTTCCCCACATGCAGCAGTGCCCAACGGCCTCAGCGAGGTGTCGACGAAGCATGTCATCAGTCTGCAGAGAGGAAGGTGGAGAATAACAATGTCGTTGGTTCCATTTAGCTGTAAAACTCTTACTCAAGGCCAGTTATTTTAAACATGATAATACATGTATAGTTCTTGAATACTAAAACCTTGTTTTGAAGTACACTTACTGTGTTAGTCAACTTGGCCAGCAGCGGGACAACCCCGTGATCAGTAAGGACTGCCAGGTTCTCCTTGTCTTTGGCTATTTTGGCAATGGCAGCACAAATGCTTGCCAAGACCTCCTTGTTTGTTGACTTCAGCAAATTAACAATCAGTTCCAACCCACCGACCAGGGAGCGCACCATTTCCCCTGCATCCTATAGTCAAAGAGACTGTTATTAGCTGGAGCTTTAGGGAAGTGAACATGGAAGAATTTGACGAAGGAATGAAGAAGGATAGCATAATGGATGATGAGAGAAAGGTCGCAAGTGGGGAAATTGGTTAGCCGAAGAACACTGAAGGCACAAACAAAACATTTTTATCACTTTTGCCACGGCAAACCCCAAACCGTCTAACACACACGTCTATCTTTATCTGTGTAAAACACATGCTTTTAAAAATAAAAGCACCCTCTGCCTTGGTACTACTGTGTTCCCAATGGCAAGCAATAAATCTGACATCTTTGTAAAACCTCCCCTCTCACTCTACTATGTCATAATGAAGATAAAACATAGAATTTAGAGAATATAAGTAACATTTAAATCTAATGGACCAGGCTGACGCAGCATAGACTCAACATTTCATGGTTCAAAATCATGGCACCAGTTTGTACCACAGGACTTTGAGCCACTTATAGGGCTATGTCTACCAAAGCTGAGGGAACCACAGCGGAAGAGCTGGCATAGACACTGGCTTTAGTATGGCTTGGCACATCAGGCTGCTGTTTAAAATCACAACACACCGTATCATTGGCCACATAAGAATACATAAAGGTGGCTGAGTCTGTAATGTTCAGGGCTTTGAAAATAGAACAGAAATTTCCCCAAAAGCGTACAATTATGGATTGGAGGATGCAAATCACAAAGGATGCCTAATTTGAGTCCATTTCAACATCAATCTACATGTCCAGGGCTGATGTACACCACACCAGTGCGGTGTACAGTAATCACTGAATTTATTATGTGCACAACATTGTAGTTCTTCATTATGAAAATTACAGGATTTTACAAAATTCAGTCCAAACAGAAAACAGAAGCTGTTCTGCAAAGATGGGCGTCAGTGACTCTGAGAAAGTGTGATGTGCAGCTGTGTTCATTCTGATAAACACTACTAAGAACAGGTCATGTTGCTATGAGGATGCTGTGCCAGAAGATTAAGATTTCCAAGCGCTGGCCCAGTGAGTTCATAATTTAAGATTCACAATTTATTTATTTTTTTGTTATCTGTACAAACCACTGTATTGTACAGATAACTGTTGCTGTCACTTAGTGACTGGAGGCTGGTTTATCATATAAGCATTACAGCAGCTTTACCCTCCTCGCCCCCTGGCTTCTCACAGTGCACCCTGAGGGGGCCCCAGCCCACTGTTTGATGTGAAACATACAGACAAGATAAAAATTTTGAAAACATTCTTGGCAAAGAAATTTCATCATATTTTTCAACATCTGAGGAAAAATGATGTGCTAAATTAGGATTTTGCCAAAAAATTCTAAGACATTTATTCTTTATAAAAAGAAATTCTCAAAATGCTATAATTTGATGAGAAACATGCAGACAAGATAAAATTTTGAAAATATTTTTGCAAAAGATGTCATCATATTTTCAATATCTGACAGAAAATGGGAAGCTACATTTGAATTATGCCAAAACATTCTGCATTTTTATTCCAAAAAAATTCAAAATGCTCTACTTTGATGAGAAACATGCAGACAAGATAACATTTTGAAAAAAAAATTGCCAAAAAGTGTCATCATATTTTTTCAACATCTATTGTAACAGAGTAAAGCAGTAATGAGCCGGGGCTGGGAACTGACCCTCTGACACATAAGAAGGCCTTACTTTGTAAAACTGATGAAGTCCCTTCAGCAGTCCTTGTGACAAAGGAAGCTCTCTCAAGCCACCAGCTGCGTAAGACAAGCCAGATTTTTTTTTATGTCCTGGACGGGCTACAGAATCTTAAAAAACCACAGCATTATAAGGCCCTCCTGTTCTCCTACCCAGGACGAAGTGAAATCGAAAACACATTATCTGCTTTGCGTGATTTTTAGTTAGATGGAATAAACCGAGTTGGGGAAAGTAGAAGCATGCTCTTTCTTTACAGCAATCAGGCTTCTGTAACATGCAAGGGAAAAATAAACCAAGCATCTAAATGTGCCTCTGCATCCAGGCAAATGAATGATACACCCCATTATGTGAGACAGAGGGACCCGAACTTCCCTGATTGGGGAATGAGGTTGATTGTGCTTTTCACTATTTAGTCTACAATGGGATGGTGGACAAGTTCAACATAGCTGTAAGCACACTGCACAGCATCTCTGTGTGCAGTGGCTGTATAGCGCATCCACATTGGATGCATTTATGCCACACATAAAATCCACTGCTAACACAAACCACATGGGGTTTATATCTAAATAATGAATGCACAAAGCAGCTGTATCAGGTTCCCTGGCTCTGTGGGCAGAGAGCACTGTTCTACTACAGTCTTAGCCCCAGTCTTAGGAAAATCACCCAAAAAGCATGTTCATGAATTTCCTACACAATTGGTGCAATGACGTCCAGACAGACGTTGTCAACCATTGTTAGCACTACAGCCTCCTATCTACAGTTGCCGTGCATCAGTTGCGTAACAATTCAGGCTCTTTGTCCTAATACTCAAGACACCTGCTTGGATCTAATATGTGTTTAAACTGGACAAGACAAGATCCCACTGACAAGCTGTTTACCTCAATCACAGTGATAATCTAATAGAACAACATTACGTGTGTAGCTGGAAATGATACAAGTGCAGAGGAGATCAAAGAACTGCTGGAATGGAAGAGAAATCGGAGTGGGTTGACAACATAGCTGTGTAATAGTGGACTAAGGGCATCTGACGACAACATAATGGAGCTCATAAAGTAGGTAAAAACAAACTAACTCTGTCATTTTTCCACAGGTCCCAATTCTTTGTTAAGGCCTAAATTACTAACAACACAACTCAACTGTTTAGTAAAAGATTTAGGGTGTTATGTATTACCAACAGATGGTGAACATACTTTAAAAAAATCTGTCAAAATTGCATTTTCTTGACTCTGAAAACCTATTACATTTGACATGCAAAAGTCCCTCTGTCATTGTTATATTTCATTTGCTAAAGGTTTTAATTTCACTGCAAAGCTGTGTTTGAACCAACAGCTACCATGTGTTATACGTGCATATTATACGAGTATGTGAGTATTGGTTGTATACAGCCTTCAGACTGGAAAATCAGAAGCTAGCTCACAGGATATTGCTTTGTCTCCTGGCCCTCAACTCTACTCGCCAGTGTGCCAAAGTGTAGTCTCTGCTTCGTATTAGCTTGAGTTTCATAGCTTGGAAACACTGCTGTCCCTGCTCGGTTCATGGCAGCACCAACACATGAGCCTATTTAGCTGATAACACAAAGTCAGCTGAACATTTCGACGTAAAAGCGAATGTGCTGATGATGAGAGTCAACCGTGGAGAAAAACAGACAGAACATGGGGGACAAATTGATAACATTAAAGTTTGTGTTTTATTCTGCCATACCTTTGCGTTCTCAATGCACGGACAGAGAGCCCAGGCTGCACTAGACTGGACATCAGAACTGGGGTTCTTCAATAAGGACCACACCAAGCGGACTCCATCGAGCTGGTCAATGATTCTGCAGAAAGAGAGTAGGAATAAGAAAATGAAGAAAAGTTAGATTCCTGTTATTCAGGCCAGCAGCAGCTTGAACAAAACTAAGGACAAGTGGCATCAGAGCTATGATCAATTTAAAGATAAGCCTCCACCATTATTAGTCTAGTCTTGGTCCACCCCCCCCAAACATTGCCTGTGCATATGTACCACTCTCATATAAAAGCCACATACAGTGCTCTGTACATGCATCTATAATTAGAAAAAGACCACCTCACACCTTATGTTGGTGGCTTGTTTTTCAACCAAAGCCAAAAAGAGGAGCCTCTTCCAACTAAAACAGAGTCGGCAACAGGTCGCCCTGTATTTCATAGGGTTTGAGAGTGAAGTTTACTTAAGCAAAAGCTATATTTCATGTTGCATACATGACTGTAGTGAAAACGGCAGTTGGAGTCTGGGAGCTCAAAGTGTAACACCACAGTGCACCCGTTGTCTGGTATAAACAACATGTAACGTGTTCCCCATGTGTGCTTCCACCAACAAGGCCGACATTGAATGCTGTCATAATTACTTAAACACTCCCTAATCACGGTATCTCCGTGACTGGCAATGAGTGAACACTCATCAGGGACATCACCTGCGCCATCTGTCTTCCGTTTGCACATAAATCAGTCTGGAGGGATCGTAACATCCGCATTCAGTCTGTAGGGTCTCCAAAAAGACCCTGTCTTAAACAAAAGCGAAGCATTGTATTGTTCGCCAAAAAGGCTTTATTTCAGCATGAAACTGGTCTCAAAAGATTAGTGACAAAGTGGCAGCAGACAGTTATGGATTAGGGGAAAAGGCTGCCAGGGTTTACAGCAATTAAACACAGTGTATAGAAAAAACAAACAACTCTGTGTGCATTTTTGGAAAAGTTAAAGGGCAGTGCTTGCGTGGGGCGTCATGGATGAGCAGAATCATAACAGTGTTGATAGAATAACAACACTGAGCTAATGAGCTAAAGGTGGCATTAAAGGAAATATTTAGTTTAAAAAAAATCCCCTATGCATCATCAGCATCATCCTAGGTTAGCGAGGCAAATCTGTAAAAATGCACCAGGTTAAATAATAATATGACTTGAGCTACGTCTAAATGCACAGCACACTTCTGAAAAAACTGAAAAAAAACTCCCAGGGAAATAAGACAACACTGTTTACAGGCACGTGTTAAGGCTGTATATGTGAATGTTGTGAGAAAGAATTACCATTTGTAAAATACAACAACTCGTGGCTCCATGATAACAAGTCCAGATTACTTTTTACTGGACCAGTAAGTGTTTGACTCCTAACTGAGCTCACTGTCTGAGTAACAATGTGAATTCAGACATGAAGTTTGAGTCATTTGAAACCAGCACTAATTAACAAGTGTTCCTTGTAAAACCAACGGTCGCAGATGAAAGCACTGTATTGTGCAGTGTTGAGGATGAGGTTAAATGAACACAGAACAAAGACCGCCCTGACTGTGGTTCACCGTGTTTTCCCAGCAACGTAGTCCTGGACGGGACAGAGGATTTTGATATGTTCATTTAATCAGCTCCAGTCTTGACTCTGACCACAAAGCCGTAGTTAAACACTGGGAATTAAACCGCAGCCATTTTTAACACAGCAGGTACAATAAACAAAGCTTTAAAATCTGTCATTAAGCCCAGGATGAATGAGAAGCCTACCTGTGAGAAAACAACTTAAAGGACCGTAGATTTTTCTGTGCATCGCCGTCATGACAGCTTAATGATACAGGAGTCTGTGACATTCACTTGTCTAAACATATGACTTCAACCTCCAACCAGAAATATGTGTGTAAAGTTAGTTTAGTAATACCAGTGAATAGGCTGCTAATCATATTTGAGAGACACCTCATATGGGGCAGTGTGTCTTCTGTCAACTGCATACTAAAAGCCAAAGCCCACATTAGCTAGTTAGGAAATGAAGAGACTCACGCCATGTTGTCCTGGTCTGTGGCACAGGCACCCACTGTCTTAGTTACATTCACCAGCAACGCCTGGGTAAATGACAGAAGTTAGTTTATGAATCGGTGTGGACTGTAGGTATAAATAGAAACATTTTAACCACATAAAGACCGCCGGAGACAACATGAGGAGGTTCCACGTGCCTGATTTGTTCCGTTGAGCAGGTCCACCAGAGGCTTGATGCCTCCACACTTGCGGATGGTGGTCTTGCTTGCAGGGATCTGAGCAAATTCTCCCAGTGCCCCGACCACATTTACCAGCACTCCTTCAGGCTGATCAGTCAGCAGGTCAACCAAGGACTCCAAGACGTTGTACTTCTGAAATCTTTACAGAGAATAGATGTGGCACAAAGGACTACAAACTATAATAAAAATCTTTGTGTTTTTTTAATGCATCTAATCAGATATGTATTTAACTGAAAATAAATTGTTGATATAATTGTTTTACATTTATTAAGAAGCTGCTGATAAATTACATTATTATTGACATACAGTTTGACTGCTCATTGTCACATTTTTACATCATTTGGACAGCAGCCAACTTACATGAATAAATTCTAATAAAATCTATGGGAAGGGTCACTGCCTCATGTTGACCTTCTGTAAATAATTAAATTCATGGTCATATCATTTGGGGTGAATTTTTTTTTTTAGGGGGTGAATTTTTTTTTTAAATTAAACTAATGGTGAGACTGGCAGAGACAATGAAAGACTATAGATTCCATCTCTTAAGCCAGAGATTCTCAACTGGTGGATCAACAACCAAAAGTGGGTCACTGACTATTTTACAAGAGGCTCTATAATGCAGGTTAGTACCCGACATTTAACATCACAGGAAGAGACATTCAATCTCTTCAAACACAGATACATACACAGATTCTTATATTGTGGACTGCATCAAGTCAAACACTCAATTTAGGCTGCAGCTTGTCATTATAAGGCAATGGTTGGTCCTGGAGAGAGACGAGTTGAGAACCATTGCCTTAAGTCATACTAATATAGCCTTCAGTAATCTGACAGATGACAGGTAGCAGCTACTCAACCCTTAGCCACACATGGGGACAGCTCTCTTAATGCAACAGAATGATACAGTACAAGCAGTTTTCCCACAACTGCTGACAGTTGTCCCTTGCATGTATTTTGCATAACCCAAGCTTTGCTGCGGTTTGGAAACCCTTCCTCCCTCTTTTGCTGTGATTCTGCCTTGTTTTCCAGTGCTATCGAGTGGTAAACTACAGTAAACATTTTAAGGGGATATACTGTGGTTGAAAAAACCTCAACAAACCTCTGATGTACATTTAAGCTCCACGACTGTTTTTATTCACAGTTACGGTTGCTGGCATCACGATCCCTAAGCCATTGTCGATGGCCAAGGTCATTTGGTTTTGGTCAGGGTCCGTTGAGAAACTGCCTATTCTTACAAGTGAAAACACTGCTAATGAACACGGGAGCTGCCAATGTTAACTTTGGTGAAATGCACCATAAAAAAAAACAATGGGTTTCCAATGCCATCAGTGAAGTGTCATCCACAGTGGACTACTGCAGAATTATCTTGTAATCACAGACATAACTTTGATAAATGAATGGTAAGTCGTGTCTGTTTTTGTTAAGCTGTCCCTGACTGAAGTAATTATGCCATGGCAAGAGTAACATTACACAAATCTGCCTGAAGCAGCTCCTACTGCAAACACTGGGCTCCACTCAACTGGAAGCTCCATTAAAGATTGTCAGAAGACACAGGAACCACAGCTTATGATTGATTGTCTGTCATTTTCCTTCCTCACTGCTCTGCACCAGCCACACATGTGACTTAGTGCAGGAAGATTAAATGAAGTCTTCTGTAATAGGATTTTGTTTTCAATAGGTGAGTGGCTGATCACTTACTTTTGATCATGTTGGTAGATAAAGAGGTGGAAATTTACATGAAGTATACAGTAGGTCAACACAGTATACAGTGGATAAGGCACTGAATGACTCAGGTTATGTATTTGTGAAGGTGAACCTCCTTTGGAAGAATAGACTTATACTGTATATCATACCGTCCAGGATTTTTTCAAATATATCTACACATCTAAAGGTTAGTTTAACTGTGGTTTGTCCAGACATTTTTTTCAGTGTCCATGCCCCATTTATACACAGGCATTTTCAAAAGTCATTCATCTATCTTCTCTAGCCTTTTCCAGGAATCTGAAGCTAATTCCTTTAAACACAGGGCAGGGGCAGGGCGGACAAACAGCTATTCATACGAACATTCATAACTTTGGTGAAGTTAAATTGAACAATTAAGCTAACCCCCCACTTACCTGGAGAAAATCCACACACATAGAGTAGGGAGAGTTTTCAGGTGGGACCGGAGATTACCTGGAGAAAATCCACACACAGAGTAGGGAGAGTTTTCAGGTGGGACCCAATTGCTGCACTTGAGAGACAAGGTTTAGGCGCAAGAAGTTTATTTTACACCGCACCACTAAACAGGGGCCTGCCCCCCACTTTGGGAACTATGATGAACCAACAAATAAATTAAAAAAAAAGTTCCAGTTATGATGACAATCATATTTTAGGGCTTTCATGATCCACAATTGAGAATAAAAATTACCAGGAGCTGCTTCTTATAACGTCCCACAGAATAATAATGACCCTTCATTTAAAAGAAGAAATTGTGTTGTTAGAACAAGCTCTGTTTCAACTGACCATTTCCCTACTGACTGTAATCTGTTTCCAAACTACCATCAAAGTGATTTTTATTTCAGCGCCTCACTCAGTCATGATTGAGTCTGAACTGAGCACCTGCCCTTAAAACCCTGTCACCATTATTAGCCTTACCTTTTCTGACAGTAATGGTTTGGTCACTCGATTCCAATCTGTGCCACACACAGACATCATGTGTGACTCAAATGATGGAGGGAGAGAATATGAAAGAAACAGATACACTGACTAGAAAATTCAAGTATGAATTAAGTCAACTGTCAACAGTGTGACAAGTCATTACGAACGGCATGGCACACGGCGGTGCTGGCAGGAGAAAGCGTGTTAGGCTGCCACACAACTCGTGGCCAGTGCAGCAAGCTGGTTTTATGATGCCAGAGTGGAGTCACAGGTTTTCCCATGTGTGTCATTTACTTTATTTGTTATTAAAATTATAAAGTCTTCATTCTCCAAAAGGAACATATCTGGGCTCAAAATGTCCATGCTGTCACTTTTTAAAATATATTTGAATCAAACAAATGTCTAACTTTTCTTGACACTTTGCTTAAACAGATGGTGAATTTTCCCACTTTGCTTTGAAAAAAACAACATTATTGTCATTTTGCTGGTTCTACAAAGGAATGCTGTGCTAACTGGATGTGGCAGCAGACACTGCAGCTCCAGTTGGGAGGTCTTAACTTAGACTTTAAGTGTAGGATATCATTCTGTCATATGTGATATATGAAGTGCTGAAAGATGTGTGTGACTGCTGCTGAGTGTTTTTTCAGTTTCTGTTTGTTTTGTTTTTTAGAACTGCCCAACAGTTTTAACTACACAGCGTCTTTAGTCAAGAGGAATAACTTTGACACATATTTTCTGTCGTAAAATTACAGTTTTGAGCGTGATTAAAAAGCAATGCCTTCCTTCTCTGGGCTAACGTAGAGGGAAAAGAGTTTGAATCAATTAAGATGTTACCAAGAAACAAAATAATGGTGCATGTTTTAAACATTATATCCTTGGCCTCGTAGTACTTCATATTACGAAGTACTGAAAGATCTACATAGCAAAAGTCTTGAGACAGTCATACTCATAACATTTGTACAATTCAAAATCAAACTAAAATCCAGATACTCCAATGCAACCCCTCAAAAAACAGGCTAAATAAACAAAATAAACCTGCAGTGTTGTGATAGAATATTTAACCTAGTTATTGACCAATGATTGAATAGGAGAAACATACTGCATCCATGCTGCATGTGGTGATGATATGACAAGGATAAGTCTGCTGGAGCCTTCCTACTATAACGACCACATACCATGGCGTTGCCGTGAACCACATCAGCTTAGCAAACCCACTCTCCCAACAATATGAGCATTGGTGGCTGTAGGGCTTAATAACCACTGGCCTGCCGTGCTGTCAGTGAGTCATTTGTCAAAGTCGTGAACATTTTTTGCCACTAACTCCATTTGTACAGAGACATAAATCTGTAAAGGCCTGGTATCACTGTGATGGATGTGTGTGTGTGTATGTGAAACGCAGTGATGCTGTGAGTGCAGTCATACTCAGCCACGTTCTCCACACTAATTGAACACTTCCAGATGGCCCCGGTGGCAGCAGCCAGGAGCTGCTTGTTGTTCACCTTGGCCAGCAGTGAAACCAGAGGCTGCAGACCTTTGTAGTTGCGCACCAGGTCTCTGGTCTGCTTGTCCGCTGCACACTGTAAAACAAACTGGATGTTACTCGCAGCTACGTTAGAACCACATACTATACGTATATTTCCTTTGGGGGCACAGGAGATTATAAAATGAATACCTTGAAGAGTGCATTTGCACAATGCATTTGTAGTTCTTCGTTGTCACTGCTCAGGTTTTTGACCAAATCCTTGATCATTCCTTCTTTCTGAATGGCAGTTCTGTAGCTCTCCTGCATAATAATAATAATAATAATAATAATAATAATAATAATAATAATAATAATAATAATAATAATAATAATAATAATAATAATAATAATAATAATAATAATAATAATAATAATAATAATAATAATAATAATAATAATAATAATAATAATAATAATAATAATAATAATAATAATAATAATAATAATAATAATAATAATAATAATAATAATAATAATAATAATAATAATAATAATAATAATAATAATAATAATAATAACAAGTTTACTTTACTAAGAACATCATATTTCAATGGAAATGAAGCTGAGCAGTGTTTCTGTAAGTGTGGCTTGTACTACAGTGTAGCTTCAACTCTTCATTTAACCTATCTGTGGAAGCAGGAAAACCATCATGTTAATATTGAATACGGTAGATTTTAATCTCAGCTGCTGTTGAGTTGGCTCTAAAGCTGTAAAAAATGCAATGTCAATATTAAAATTTTGAATTGAATTGAATTGAATGTAACACCCACATTTACAATTCCAAATGTTAATGACAAAAACAACTCAAAACTGAAATTCATGCCCAAAAAAGAGTATGACCTCTCACCTCTGAGGCACACTCCTGCAGGGTGCCCACCACGGGGATAAGCATGTTCTCATGTGGAGACTTTAGCAATCTTCCCAGCAGCGGGACACCGCCGGCCTTACGGATGGCCTCCTTATTCTTCGTGCTCTTGCTGCAGCTCCAAAGCGCTAACGCGCCACAGCGGGCCACCTCTACGTCCTTCTGTTGGTGTGCAGTCAGGCTGGCTAAATTAGGCACACAGTGCAGCAGGCTCACCTGGGCACAGAGGTCAGGTGCACAGACAAACATGTGGGTAAATATTTTACCAAACTTGACAAGAAGTCAACATGAAGTAATTAAAATTCTTGCATGATCTGGGAAATGATGGATAGCAGCCAAGGTAGCTCGTTGTTGGCTGTAATCACCACTGTCATTAAATTTCTATTAAAAGTGAATCAACGAGGATGAGAGAGTTAGACAATCAGATTAGAGGAAAACAGGTCAGAGGTCCAGTGCGGGCCTTTCTTCTGGTTCTCCGTTGTGTTCTAATACGTCGTTGCTGTCCAGAGAGACAGAGTATGCTCGTCAGCTGTGGGCTGTTACCCACAGCTCAGTTCAAAGGTGGTCTTGTACACTGCATGAAATTAATCATCCCTCACGAGTGACTCGCACATGTGAACATCCGATCTGAGGAAAATATACAAGGCACGCAGCCTTTAATCACAGGTCCCTTTGTCAACAAACACGAGGGCACGTCAGAGGATGTGAGGGACACTCTATCTGTTTTACCTCTACACCCACTGTGGGCTTTTTTTTAAATTGATGGGGCAATTTACTGCATCTGCTGTGCAGACTAAAAATAGGAGCAGGTGGATGATGGTTTAGATTTTTGTTTTGTTAAAAAAAACACATGCTAACTGAAAGAGGTTTAAACTATTAAGTGTTTTAGTAAAAAAAGGCAAATTAAACCAAACCTAAAAAATTAAAGTGACTATTTTCATTTGTCTGTACATACCAGTTTTTTAATCCCACCATACTGCCTCACAGTTCTTCTTGCCCTGCGGAACCTGGTCACACTGGCGATGGTCTCAGCAGCCAGAGCCTTGAGGTCCTTGACCGGTGAATCCAGAATTTTAACAATGCTCTGCAAACCCCCCAGGTCAACGATGGCCTGACGGATTTGCACATTGTGACTTATCTTCCTCAGGATTTTCAGAGATCCAATCTAAGCACACAAAGAAAACAAAAGAACAAAACCATTGATAAATAAAGATCAAGGTTTTATAACCTAAAACACAGTCATAAGTCAGGGCTGAACTTTCAGTTCTCACTCTCAGCCTCCCTGTAGCTGAAACACTGCTTGGCACACACACAGGTTCTGCTCATGCATGCAGACTATCCAGGTCCAGCTTTGGCACAACTACTCACTTTGCATTTGACTTCATCTGTATCCAGCAAGTTAATGAGGACTTCAAGGCCACCTACATCCCGGATGGCCAGTTGGCATGTTTCCTGCATTAAATTAAAGTCCAACATGGCGCACAGAGTGAGCACAGTGGCAGTCTGGTCACCTCCCTAGAATAACAACACACACAAAAAATGAAAATTAAAGAGGGAGAGAGAGAGTGGAAAGGAAGATATGAAACACACTCTACAAGCATTTGTACAAACAAGAGGAACACAGAACCCAAATACTACTCCTGCTGAGTATGTGTTGTTTATTTCACAGTCTTCTCAGTGTTTAACTTTGCGGTAGTAACCACTAGTAACCGATGGAAAGAATTTGTTAACGCATCGGGCAGCGTGCTATTGTGTCAAGCTCTAAAGCCAAGAGTCCAAGATGAAAAAAAAAAATCATGTTAATGGACTGAGGTGTGGGAGGGGACCTGTGGTGAAGGTCAGACTGGAAGTGTGTGACTAACACAGCTGATTACCAATGAATTATTTAATGTCCAAATCATTTATTCTGTGAGTTTTTCTTAACACTTTGAGGAAACAAGGTAGCTCTAAAAAAATCCCAAACAACACACAACACAACAGACACAAGCTAACATTGAGGTTGAACTGGGGATCATGTCACTGTAAGGCAGGAGTGCTTACCACTCTTCACCCATGCAGTTCCTTAAATCATGTGATCCATTCATTTCTCCTTTTTCTTAAATAGAAGAACACATCCCACACATTTTTTTATCCTGGGAAAACTAGGGCACAACTCTAATGCCAAGGTATTTCGGTGTCTCAGTGTTGTACGAAAAATATCATGTTCAAGTGTCCCTTTCACCTGGAGGATCTAAACTAAAGAAAGCATTTAAGACATAGAAAAATGAAACACTGTTCTGAAGTGTTGTCCTTTGCAGCAATGTGACTATTGTACTTTCAACTTCTAAATTTAGCATCCAACTACTTGTCCTCCTTTTTTTAGACTCTGCTCCCACTGTATAAATCTGCATAATTTCCTATCTGTGGACAGATGCTGACAGCGTTATGACACTCAAAACACCAGTCTTACAGTTGGCGTGTTGATTTGGCTGAAACGGTGTCCAGACAGTGAAGCAGTATTGTTTTCTTATTACCATATTTAGTCTGTTTCGTATGCAGCTGCATAACAAGCTTTGTCCACGTGCCACGGGTTTGATCGTCCAGGAGGAAGAATCTGTCGTCAGATAAAACAGCAGCAGCAGAGCTGTGATACCAGAACAGTTTTATAGCTTTTGATACGTGATCCATAATCGTCTAGTCCAAAACCGCCTGGCAGGACAACAGTCAAATATGATGTTTGGGGTTTTTTAGCAGTGTAAATTTTCCATAGATATATCTCTTTTTTTCAGGATTCCATGAGCGTGCATTATGGTAGTGGGTCCACAACTTTCCTGCAGTGCAGATAGGACTACCGTCACGTTGCCCGCACCTCAAAAAATGCACAATTTTTGTTTCAAATCTCCACTGAACTTTACACAAAGCTGCTACCCCTATGGCCAAAAGAAAAAAAAAATTACAAATATATGCAATTTCGCCTCTTCGGCACACTTAAAAAAACTAAAATTAAAATTAATTTAGCTCCACAATCACTTTGTGTCCCTTTTTGGGAGTGCTCCCCCCTGTTTGAAAACCACTGCTTTGTGTCACATTTGATATGATTTTAGGAGCACCACACACCTTGTAGAATTTAAGTTTTGATCATTTTATTCAAACACAGTAAAGTTACATTTACTGCAATCTGAAATTAGTAGAAATAGTCCTTTAACAGTACAGAAAGCTCAGGCAGTAATCTCTTCCATGCCGCTGTTGGACTGGACACAGACGACCTAGACTAGATTTTAGGTAGTGTTTGATCATATCTCCGACACAAGGCTGTGGTCTGACTCAGCAGGGTAACAACCATGTGGTCTCCATATCATGAATGTGAACCATTTGTCCATTACAAGCAGTGGATCTACTGCCTTCTTGTCTTTTTCATTCTCACCCTTCAAAGGATTCCGCAGACTTGGTGCATACCTTGTAAAAAACAGCGGGGAGAAAAAAAAAAGATCTACATACAGCAGTGAGAGAACAGAAAACAGATCATGCACTTTCATTTCTCTTAGCTTTGGTCTTGAAGGTTCTTTAAAAACACTGACAACATCTTGACGGTCTTTTATGGTGTGAAGATCTTTGACTTTTTCGGAGCATGATACAGGGCAGATGTTCACCGTGGAATGAATTCAACCACTGTTCTACCTCTGAACAAGAAATTCAAAACGCAGTAAATATCTGTGAAATATCACCCCAGATACAGAACAGTGTGTACTATGAGTTTGATCTCTCAGCCAAAAGTATAAATTTAAATAAATCGTCTGTTTTCTCTGCAGCGCCACCTTTCATACAGAGGACTATTTTCAAGGCCACACATTCACATTTTCACCAAAAAAACCCAAAAATTAATATTGTGTGACTATGCATAAACATGCTGTTTTTTATCTACTCCAGCAATATACAGAAAAACTTTTTTTTCAAATGTAAACATGTTGATTAATCTGAATTTAATCATGATTAATCTTGCTTAATAACAACGAGGATTAATTATGAGAAAGAACAATTAATCCACAGCTACCCTATGATTATTCAGATTAAAAAGAATTTGATAGCCTTAAAAAAACATATTTTTTATGAGTATCAACCACTCTACACCCACTGGCACAATGCAGTGCAGGAAGGATGTATTAAAGTAATTCGAGACCGTTGAAGAGCCCTATCTAAAGAACTTGCATGGCTGTTGGAAGATGTGATGAACTCTCTCGGCCTTTAAAGATGCTCTGCACATTTTGTCTCACATTTATTTGCTGCAGGTGTCTACGGCTGAGCTGAAGCCCCTGCTCTGCTGAATGGAGGTCTTATTCTAGTGGAGTTGCTTTGCAGCAGCAGACTGAATCCTCCAGACACTGACTGCCCAGGCCTGAGCCACTGAAGTACTATAAATCATAGCACTAAGCATGTGGGAACAGCGATGGGGTTAACAGGGCTGTAAATGATACCCTGTTGACCTCAGCTCCTTTTCACAAAGCGGTCGTGTGTACGTATTCCGCACAAATGTGCGTAGCTCAGACTCTAATGCCAAAAAGGGGGAGGATGTGCATATTAAATACAAGTGTTTAGATAGCTTACAGTGTATCGCAGATAGGCTCGGGACACTGCCAGGGCTTAACAGAGCTCAGAGTAACAGAGAAGCATCTTGGCAGAGCCTGAGCCGTGGACGATGCAGGAGGTTTCATACATCTCTGCAGTCTTCTGCCGACACACTCGGGCTACTGATGACAAGAACAAACTCAAACCTTCTGCTCTATTACGGTGAATGTACTGCAAAGGCAGAAAGAGTGATTACCAGTAGTTTTTGTTTCATATTTGACGTACGTAACTTGATTATCTAATAGCTCTTTCTGTCCAGGACGATGTTGACGATATGCATATTTTACACGTGGCCTAATTCGAGAATGTAACGATGTAATTATTTTGCGAGTTATCAGGATTAAGCGGGCAGAAAATGACTAAACATTTGTTAACGTACAATTTGGAATTATTTTCCTAACAAAGAGCATGAAAATGACCAAATACTTACGGCATAATTAGCTACAAATTCAGCATGTAAGATAATATTGGCTCTTGACTGGGGCCAGGATTAGTTTTAGTGCAGCAGGCAGAAGAATGTGTTTCATATGAGCAGAGGGTGGCAGTAGTACTTGGACTGCCCAGCAGAGGGGGAGAAACTTTAATGAGGACTGAACACAAAAACATGTGTCAGGTCTTAGAGCTGCCTAATTGTAATTAATGATATTTAAAACTTAGGATGAAAATATACTTCTAGCTGAATATTTTCAAAGGCAACAGAGGCGGACGGCACACTTTCAGGAACATTTTTTTGTTTTTCTTTTGTTGAGTCTTAAAAGCAAAAAATGCAAAAGTCACTTATTACAAAAACAAATAAATCACAAGACCCTTATGTATTTTAAAAAATGAAAATGCAAGAAAATGAGATCAACAAAACACAAAACAATGCCTATTGGTTAACTACTAGCATATTGAAAGTCAGAAATATTTATATTTTTGAGGATACCAAAGTTGTTTTGTGTTTTGAGGAGCCTTCTGCCAGTCTAACTGAGAGCAGCTGCTAAGTTTTGTTGTTATTTAAACTCGGGCAAAACACACAAATTAAATTGTTGGCTTTGTTGGTAAAGTTGTTCTTTCAATCCCTTAAATAAAACAAGCCCGTTCGTTCTAATCCATCACATCAGCCAACAGGATTCTCAGTGTTTCTTGTTTTCGTACTACACTGATTGCACATACATAATATAAGGTACAATTATGTGTAATTAATGTAGCCAATCAAATGCAAAGTAATTTCCTGTTTTCAGAAAAATTGGTACACCTTAAAATGCAGCAAAAACAAAGAGCTACAGTTTGGGTATTGATTACAACCTTTGATGCAGTACAAACATAACCAATTATTCTGTTTGTTTGGTGTTGAGTTTATGTCTGCAACACATGGAAGTTTGGCAAGACGCAAGTAAGACTGAGTAGGTAGAATTCTGGAGAAAAGAAAACTATGAAAACCCTTTATCTTATTGTTATTTATCGTTAGGAATATTTTAGTGAGAAAAAGCTCTGCATGCAAAAGCAAAGAGTGGAAACGGCTGCTGAATATGCATGGCCTCCAAGACTTTAACAGACAATAATCAACCCCTGAAACAATACTGTGATGTACTCTAAGAGTTTACCGAGTCTCGGCTTGAGACAATAAAAGACAAAAAACTATTGAAATGACAGGTTTCACTCTGAATCGGTGAGACTTTCCGAGCCAAGTGTATATTAACTATTAAAAGAAAGGTAGACAATAAACCTAAGGAATATTCAGTTTAAATGTTTCATTCTTGAATTATTTTCAGTTTTCCAAAGCAGATATGTGTAAAAATGACACCTGCTTGACTGTCTAAAGGTATCCTGCGTTCCATAATCACTAAAATGCATTTTAAAAGTAAAGTGTGCATTAACAAATAATCAACGTCATGTATGTTGACGGCATATATTTTATGAGTAAATTGTCTAAAAAGGAGAATTAATTTGTTTAGAGATCAGACTAAAAGTCGTTCCTGTGCTAACACAGGATTAAGTGCATGACCAGATGTATTTTTTTGTACATTTACATAGTTTAGAAGAGTTAAAAATATAGAGCATGACATGATGCTAACATGGTGTGGTGGGACTGGAGGACAACCATACAGTCACACAAACATAGGCTTGACTAAATATAGAGTATACGAACATTGGGTCTAACAGAATTTGTGATCGCTTATGCCACTGGAATTAGTGAACAACCTGTTACAGATGGAGAACTCCAGCTGCACAAGTATTAAAAACAGACACGTATCCCCAGGCAAATACAACAGCAAAATATCATTAAGAACCAGAACATCAGAACATCCTTGCATGGCATTATAAAAGTGTAAAACTTCATAGAGTGCAAACAGTTGTCAAAAGTGTAACAGTAAAGAAGAAGAAGGAGGAGAAAAAAGATCTCCTCCTAAAATAAGACAGATATTTGACTTGGCTCGAGCTACGTTTCAGCATCTGATGGTAATGATATTATAAAATGACTTCTGGACAAACCCCATAAATAACTGTGCTGTGTGGTTTCCAGACAGATAGAGAGCCGGGCCGTGTTGGTTACTGCAATGCCACATCTTACTGGAGCAGGAATACATTCGAGCCTATAGCTCACGGCTCCTGCTCGAGAGTATAAAATGCAGAAACCATCAATGTTTTTGTAACTATATGTGCCTCTTTTGTATAGTTTTGCATCACAAGCCTTCTCTATTTTCAGAAGAATTCACAGTCAGGTTTTAGAGCTGGAATTTACACTGATATTTTTAGCTTTTTTTTCTTGCCTGGCTAAATATAGACTAAAATGGTGCTTCCCAGTGGCATTTTCTGAAAAGTTGTGCTGTGAACTATCTTACTTGACACCAAGAACTAAGAAACATCATGTATAGATTTTAGACCTTATATATAAAAAAAATAACTTTATGTCAGTTATTACTTCATTTTAACATTCTGCAACCCTTAAGTCTGTGGCACAGAGAGGTTTTGGTGTGAACTATGTCACTAAAATAGAAATAAAGCTGTCACTGTTCACTGAAGCCTTCTCCCTGACTCTGTCCAGATAAAGAGATAATAAGGCAGCACTAAGTACTGCAGGTCATACTGTAGGTATTTGGAGCCAGTCTAGGTCACCGTCTTCTTG